AAATAGGGTTTTTACAAATGAATCTTATACATATCTTGATTCTGATTCATTTAGGAGTTTGAAATGAAATAAGATAAAATAGGGTTTTTACAAATTCCTGCAGGTTGTTTGACATCCTAAATATGGCTTCTGATCTGAATGCGGAACTTTCTAAGAATACTGTCATTTTTGGTCGCAAGGTTTGGGAAGCTATTAGGATTATTCATTATTGTCGTCTCATCACCATGTGATTATCTTAGAATACAAATAAATCCAACAATAGCATATCTTGACTTAGAAGAACACCCAAAAATCAAATATTTTTTCAAAGTGATCCAAACGGCCAAATCCAAGTTCCAAGTACTTCCAACTTCGTCTTCCAAGTTCCAACTGGTAACAGACAACATCGCAACAGTGAACAGTCTATGTCAACACTCAACTCAAACTCAACATTCAAATTTTTCAAAATTCACAATTCACAAATCACATGACATAGACGATAAATCATGGATGCAGTGGCATAAAACAAAACAAAAAAAGAGAGAGAGAGAAGAGAAATGGCTCACATTCCACAAAAAATGTTGTTATGCTGTCGACATGTCGTTCCCTTCCCTTTAGCTTTGCCCAATCCCCAATTGCCGGCCGACGATCCCTTCCTTCTCCTTCAGCCACGAAATCGCCCCAGATCCCTCCCAAACGCTCCTTTAGATTTCACAGCAAGTAAATGTAATCGATTTGAAATTTGAGAGTTATGAAATTGGGGTTAATTTGGGGGAAATGAACAGGAGTCTTGGGTTGGAAATAGAATTTCTTAACAGGGGTATTTTTGTTTAAATAATTTGAAAATGGACATTGGAAAAAATGTGGACATTTTTGCAAATGACTAGGTGAAATTGGACATTCTATGAAATTTCCTCTTTGTTCTAATCAATGTTGCATATTTTTAAACCTAACTAATAATTAGACTGTGTTGTGATTTAATCAAATGGTTCAGAAAGAGGCACATGAATAAGATGGGCACCTGATGAGACCTTTCTCATTGCACAAAGTACAACTCTCAGAGCCTCATTTCTCGCTGTAATACTTATGGCTTCCATTGCACTCTTAGCAAAGGACGAATTTGTACCCACCACACGCCTCGCATTCACAAGCGTCTACTGGGAGGAGACCCTGTAGGTACTTTTTGAGCTCACCGCTCTCATGTTGTTGCCACACCTTTTCAGCACCACCAATGTACTTGTCGCCGATAAAGACTAGGGGAAGCATTAATTTGGATTTCTTAGGTTCACCAAAGATCCTCTACAACTCCTTAATGTCATATGAGTCCATAGAAACATCCCTTTTGTGAACAAGCACATTTTAAGGCACGCAGGATTGATTCAGCATTCAGCATTGTGCAGTTTCTTTCAGGTTATGTTGGCACGATGAAGAGCCTTCCCCAATGATGGAGACGCAGTTTCTTTTTAGTTTTGATTTTTTATTATATTTGTGATTAATTTGTCTTTTTTAAAAAAATTTGGGACTATTGTTGCAATTAATTTTTTATCCTTTCATTTCATTTCTTTTTGTTTTATTTGAATACGAAGGTAAAATCGTCTTTTATTGAAAAATGGATGAAAATAATCTTTTGCGCAATGAAGGATGGAAATAGATGTAAAAATGTCAAAAAAAAAGGAAGGTAAGCACGTTTTGTACAATGACTAGGATGTTTTGTGTTATTTACCAATAGAAGCAATGACTTCAATCACCACTAGGATTCACCCTCTACTCCGCCACGTCGATAACAAAAAACCTGCCCAAGAAAAGCAACAATTTCTTTAATAAAATTAAAAGTATGCATAATTTATTTTATTTAAAAAAAATGTGACCTCAATTTCATCTATTCGTTCCATAATTACTCTTTGTAAGGGAAAGTTTGGAGAATCTAGAGAAGACGAAAAGAGGAAGGTATTAATGAAGGTCCCCTCATCCCAGCTAATCTAAGGCACTAGCTCGGAGCCGTGAGGTTTCACTTCTACGACGTCATATAGTTGGAGTCCTTGAACCCTAATAGCGCACTTTTGAGAGAGTTAAATGATAAATCACCAACATTTAATAACACTTTTATACAAAGTTATCCATTTATCACTCATTTAAAATTTGTCCATCATGAACAAAAAGATCTATGTGACAGATGGAAATCCTACTTATCAATAACTATTTTAAACTATTGGACAGTTTGAACAAAAAAATTAATTAACTAAAATAACTTTTTCCTTCCAAATTTGCAAGAACGTTTTCCCTATATCAAGATTCAATTCTCCCAAATCTTCATAATAAGTCTAAACGATTTCTTCTCCATAACCTAATTCAATTCATCCCCAAATCAGACACAAACCATTTCTTCTCCCAATTTGCATGAAACTACTGCATATTAAACTTCAAATTGAGAAACCACAAATTCACAGGAACCCTAGTTTCCTCTACCAAAAATGATATTCAAATTGATCCTCACAAAAGTGCCAAAATGCTTCCAAAATCTGCCTGTGTATCAAAATGAGCTATGCCATTGTGAAAAGGAATTGGTAAGTAGAAGAAGCAAAGTAAATATATTATACAAGAAAAAATGCAAAACTCATTTACCTTTCCCATTTCGTTTTAGGGTACGTATTGTCAATTTAATATCCCGCAAGTGTAAGAATCATTACAACATAATGAACCAATGAGTCCGAATTATCGTTCCCACGAGGACTATACTTTAAACATAATTTATTATTTCCAACTTCTATTCATGTGATCGATTGTGATTTTTAATCTGACTACTGAATAATATGTGGATGCATACAAAGATTGATTAATAATTTAAATAATAAATGAATTTTATGGCGGAACAATTTTACCTATTAATCACCTTTAAGTCTTAAATCAAAATTCATAAAATCTAATGTAGTGTTCGATCGAATTCTCCTATTGTATTCAATTGACCCCTCTCGAGATCTCATTGAACCTATTTAACTACTTCAATTCCATATTTCTATACTAATCAAACTTAGTTATAAGAATTCATATATGACTGCAGTAATTAATATAGGTATCTCTACACATTATATTAATTTATCGAGTTTTAATATATGGTCTAAACAAATATTCTGCATCTCCACGTAATTATTGTTCACAAAAGCATTGAATAATTGGCCAAAGAATTCAAAGCATTGAGAACATAATTAAAATCAAAATATATGCATAAAGGAACTTGAATCTTGAATAAAAGAAATAAAGAGTCCCCAAATGTTACATTGTTCGCCATAATAATAAATTTAGCTACTCATGATAATGGAAGAAAAACAAAATATATAGAGTTCATAATCGAATTATAAAAACTTGATAATGGAAAGAATTGAATCTTCCACAAAGAATCTTCTTCAACCCCCAACTTTTGCTCATTAATCTTAATGATTATGTGTTTTTCTCCTATGTGATCCTGCTCTCTCAATCCCAAGTTGTATTTATTTTTCTCTCAATGTGTGTAATACCTTTTTCACATTTTTCTCCAATTTAAAATTTCTTGGCTTTTCACGGGTCAAAACGGTGCAACCCTAAATTTGGTGGTGCAGCGCCTAGGCACCGCGATGATAACCACGGCAGCGTTTGAGCACTACAAGTGTAGTGCTTAGGAGCTGTCTTTCTATCCAAAACTGCATTTTTTCGTGAATTATGAGTATAGAACATTTTTTATGCGTTTGTTAGTATTGTTTTGAAGATTAGGAGAGATGGTGTAAAAAGAAGTACTAAAGTGGACAAAGAAGTCAAAATCTAGCAAATAATCAAGTTAAAATTGTGTAAAACTTGTGAGTAAAACACACTCGTCAGTACATATGAATTTGTCGTGATTTGGAATCCTTTTAATTAAATATAGAACTCATTTACCTCTTTTTGCTGTTACGTGATTCTAATTGGGGACGGTAGTTTTTGTGGTGTAGGAGAAAACGTTATTTAAATCAGTATTCTGAAAGGCATAGTGCGTAGCAATGCGGGGAGGTCAAGCTATGGAATAAGTGAGCTTATGCAAGGCATATGCGTAAAAAAAAATAAAAAGACGTTTTCTTATTTTAATATTATTTTAATTTTTAATCAATCAAAAAATCACTAAATAAATAAAAATGATATATACATAAATAGTAAATAGTAAATACAGATTTATAGGAATTTTATACATTTTTTCAAAGTTTTCAACAAAAATACAAGTTTCATACATAAATAGTAAATAGTATATAAACAGAAATTTTTGGGAGTTTTCATTTGTTCAATGCTTCAAACGACTGTTTTGAATCTATGTCAAATGAAGTGAAGAAATCAACCTTTAATTTTAACTTATATGAAATGTAAAAATAAAATTAATTAATTAAGTAAAATTTAAAAAAATATATATATAATAATGATTGCCTAGGCGTGCATTAAGACGTCAAGCCACTTTGCATGGCATTTTTGCCACGAATTGTGCTTTGGCGGTGCCTGGATGTGCCTTTTAGAACATTGATTTCAACTAAAGGAAAAGTATAGCTCAATTAAAGCACTTTTATCTAGCTTGTCCTCAAAAAACGATGCGTATTGCCACGTGGGATTTTCATCTGCCACATAGAGTTTTTGTCCACATAGATGGATGGATTTAAATGAGTGATGGATGGATAACTTTGTGTAAAAGTGAATGAGCAATGGATAATTATTTATTTTTGGATGAACAAGAAGCAATCAAAGCTAAATGTTTAGTGATTGATTATTTAATTAACTCTTTTTGTGATTATTTCAAGAACCAGAAGGGCAGATTACTGAAAGAGAAGACAACATAAGGGTTTTAAGGAAAACCGGTTTTTTTAGTGGCGAACCGTACGGGTATAATTGAACCAGTTTGTGACGCATTTAAATTGCATTTCACCCCTATAATTATTGGAATTGCAATTTTTTTTAACATCATTTGCATTTTAATCTCCAAAGATGTCTCTTGCCAGAATAAAATTGCTTGATTTCCGAATAGCTGAATTAAATGGCATAAAATTGCACCTTTTCCATTTAGAAAATTATACAAGAGAGACAAAATTCGACCTTCTCGAATTGAGTGTGCAATTTACAAAACATCCTTCAGTTAGGTTGCAAGGAAAAAAAAAAACAAAAAATTAAACACGAGATAAGCAAAGTGATCTAAATTTTACTTTCTCCTACTACGGTAGAAGATAAACTCCAAACATGGAAAAGAGCTTTCGATATCTATAGCAGACTAAGCCAGACGAGTGTCCTCTCAACAACACTTGATGCTAGGGGAGCCAACACACGAGCCGCCCTTGGTAGTGATGGATACGCCAATGTGCCAAGTATAAACCAGTTGAAGCTCAAGAGCGCAACAGCATCAGATGCAGGCTTGTTATTAATGGTCGTGAAAAATTGAATGACACTCATCAAGGACATGGTGACAACAGTAAAAAGAGCAATGACTAGAGGCACGCAAGGGTCCTCAGCTTCCCATACAATCATCCCGACGACGAGCGACAGTATTGCACTGAAGAGGCTTCGAGAAAGAGCAAGTTCCCTCCTTCTGGCCAAAATATTGCTTGTGTTTAGATCTTGTGCGATGATGTGGGGCCCACAGGATTTCAACCCTTCTTTTACAATATCACGTGTCTCCTCCCAGATGTCTTCATGCACCATTACTCGATCAATGTTTCTGTTGAAACCCGACACCCCAAGTTTATTGGTGTCCTTAGTATCACTGTTTGTATCATGACTACTGCCTGTGTCACATTTATCTTTGCAGCTCCAAAGTGTTTTACCTCGAACCTCTTTTAACCTTTGATTTTCGTCCTTCAAATCCTGAACCTGTTGGACCAAAGACAGAGTTTGGTAAAAAAGGAAACAAGATTTTTCACTTTTTTTTTTTCTTTTCCTTTTCAACTAGAAAACATTATGTATGAATGAGGTAAGCTTTTCAGCACAATGTTTGCTTATTACTTGCCTTATGCACACTAGTTTTCTGTGGAGAAATTAAAGAAATGTAAAAATTGATAAACTAGCAAGTCAAGTTCTTCAATCATTCAACACATCAACACATTACCAACCCATATTAGGGCCAGTTCTCTCTGGTCATGCTTGAGGTACTTTATAAAGGAAAATGTGCCTTAACATGTCACATTGATTATATATGACCAACCAACCTACTATAGAAATGCTGTTTCAATTTAGTGATGATTGGTAAGAAGATTGATTCGGTCATTAGTGTACAATCAACTACTAGGCACTTCAAGATAATGGCACACCAATGAGCTCAATACAACAAAGATAGGTCAATGTTGCCAAAAGAAAAATTTCAAGAACTGAGCAAATGGACAAATTCATAGAAATATCACATCTATGCAATACAAGGTATCACTGAAGAAATATAAACAAATGAATTACAAAGAGATACTAATGTGATTATAACATGGAATTAGCAAACGCCGACTGGGATGCTAACAATTCTTTTGTCAGCGAAAGAGATCATCGAATTGTAAAATCCCAAGAAATTGCATTGCAGATGTAATATCTATTTCCTACAAGATGAACTATGCTTTTGGCGGTACATGTTAATTTGTATTGTTCAAAACTTATATACAAGTACTCCAGGCATACAAAGACAAAGACAATTAGTTTACCTCCCCTTCTAGCAACTGAATTCTAACAATGGCCTCATCATGTTCACCTTCAAGTTCTTCTAACATCATCTGCATCATTTTATGTTTCCTGATTGCCATATGCAGCTGTTCTTCTAGTTCCTTCCTATCCCAGAGAACACTTTCTAATTCAGTTCTCACTCCATGCAGTTGCAACTCTAGCTGTACATGAGCTGTTATCCCGTTAGTTATTGTAAACATTCTGTAAAGCAATGAGAATAACAAAAGTGTAGAATAATTATTCACCAAAATCTCTAAGCACCTTACTCTTTCAATTTATTACCTTCTTTTGTTTACAATTGGTTTGAGAGGACCTTAGAAATCTACACAAAGTACAGCATGAAGACTTGGTGGATTTCATAAAATCAAGCAAATATTCTGGTTATATTTATAGATCATAATTTCTTCAAATCAAATATGCAACACAGACATGAGCGACAGTGAGGGAAAAAAAAATTAACTTGAAGATAAAGTAACATTCCAAAACAGCCATAAAAATCCCCAAACACAAGCTTCTGAGAATGACTGAATGACATATGTAAAAATCCCTTCCCTTTCTCTTTTTTCCTTATTTTTTCTAGTTGCTGGGGTAGATGGATTTGGAAGGAACAGAGAAAAAAGATCAGTGTGGCCAACAGAAATAAGGTTTAGTTCGTTGTTATTTATTTATATACTTGTACATTTTATTTATTTATTTGGGGGGATGGAGGTGCCATACCCCCACATTTTTTCAATATGCTGCTAAAATTATCTCTATTACAATGTAATCAATTAAGTTGAATTTACCAAGCATGATTAGATATTTCCACCATGTTCCAAATTGCATTCCAAAATTGGGGAAATAGCCGCCATCAATAATGTGCATGCACATATGGAACTGGATCAGACTTCTCCAAATTTCAATGAATAGTATCCCCTCAAGACGTGAATATTATAAACTAATTGATAGAGTCGCTACAACAATTAAAAAAAAAAAGAAAAAGAAAAGGGAGTTTGAAGTTAATTACCTCTCTTTCCCTTTGCAATGCAGTAATTGCTCGCATAGGAAGAGTAAATATAAAAATTGTCCAGATTGCAAGCTTCCAGAAGATAATAATATGAAGATGTATAGCAGCCCTCAGCAGCTCTGTCCAGGTCTGGATTACAATAGAGATGCTCCACGCGCCAAAAACACAAGATACCTTAACTAGTGAGAGAGGCTTTGTTGCCAACCCCACTACTGAACACATCAATTCAAAGAGCATTACCTTCATATCCACTATTGCATACTACTGCGTTGCATTATTCACTGTCCACGTGACATCTGCATAAAAGTACGGAGTCAAATGCAAGTTCCATAACAAAATTGAAGAGAAGATAAGAATAAACAGCATTTCCCAGCCGGGCAGTGCACTAAATAAGTCTGGAACCTAAGTGCAGGAAAAAGAAAAAGGTTTGTTCGGTTACATACTAAAGCTTAGCCCAAAAAACAAAGCAACACGTCCATCACATCGAATAAGGAGCATCTCGTATAGCAATATATTGACAAAAAGAAGAATTGTCATTGGTATACTCTGTATTTCACCCTCCATTGTTTTATTTACCAATATGCTACAGCTGCAAAAGTTTCATTCAATATATTAAAGAGTAGTACTTTTTCTTTTGTCTATCTACATTTCAAAATTTTGTGGACCTACCTGTAGAAAAAGCAAAGACAATTATGAATCTATCAATTTGCAGAAAAATTCCAGTCGATCCTTAGAAATACACCAAAAAGATCTCTTAAATGGTGAAGTAAGGTATATATCTGTGCACTTTACTCGAGAAATTCTGAATACCCCCTCCGTCCACTTTGGGACAAACGAAAAAGGAAAGCAAACCTAAAAAAAAGGTTAAACCCTAACCTTAAGGTCCCCCACCACCCCTGCCCTGGAGCATCGTGAGGGAGGTAAATCGCAGGTTATGCCTCCAAGGATACAGGGTGGAAGGCTGCTTGTACACTTGCACTTACCCAAGAGCCAAATCCATATTTCAGGATTCGAACCCTTGACGCAGCAACCTCAAACAAAGCTGGATTTCTCCACCCTCCCCTTTTACCACTTGGAGATGTGCCCTGGGGGCAAAGGGAAAGCAAACCTATCTTTATGGGACGGAGGGAGTAATTTTTTTCTTTTATCAAAATAGAAATAAATCCAAAAAGCACTTGGCCGAAGTCTCTAAACATGGGATCTTCTATACTTATTTGAAGGGTCTTAAATCCTCAGTTCCGCTTCAGAGACTACTGAGGATATTAAAGCAATGAAAAAATTATTTGAAACCCAATACTCATAATTAAGCAAACTAATAATCCCAAGAGCATCTTGTATTCTAAAAGTTCATAATTGAACATTCAATAAGAATCTTCAACAATAAATAGCAACAAGAGAGAGAAAATCCATTATATACCATTTTTCTTAGGGGCTAACAAGGTATTAAAGAATCCAAATCACCGCAGCGACTTAAGTCCTAAAAATTATTAGCTATCTATTGTTCGTGCTGCACATGCTAAAACCCATAAGTGAAATTAAAGACTTGAAATGCCAGATAAACAATAAACAAAATATGCAACAATGTAAAACACAATTAACTTCATTGATAACATTACAGCCTCGTTTAACAAAACCCAAAATTCTGAAAATATAAAAAATGGCTAAATCCATCATTTCCCCCACCCCGCAAGAAAAAGGGAATAAGCTCCAACCTTACAAAACAAGAAATAGAGAGGATATGCTGACGAAAGGGTAGATGGACTCTTCTGAAATTTGAACACCAACAAACGCAAAAGAAAGATGAAATCTGTAACGTAATGTGATTGGGGCTGGGACTGAAGTTTGAGATTTGAGAAGTGGTGACGAGGAAAACTGAAAATGAAACAAGAAGCGACACGTGAGGTTGCATGCCAGTGACACGTTGAGATAATGGGTGTTGGATTATTGAATTCAATTGAATATTGAATTTTGAGTTGAGATGACGATGACAGTGACGAAGACGAAGATTTGTTTTCATCTTTTTCAGATCAACACCACAACAGGCTACAATTCCAACTTCCAACGTCCACCGCCTGCTTGGTCAAGTATACTATCTAATCTTCTGTTTCCCGATAGATTCATTTATTATTGATGCACGTGTACCTTTAAAAAAAAAAAAAAAAGGTTGAATCCCAACTTTAAGGACCTCCACGGTCCGGTCTCCAAAGCTTTGTGAGGGAGTTAAATCGCGAGATGTGTCTCAACAGGCCAAGGAACAAGAGTTGTCTGTACACTGCGCCTACAAGGAATTCAATTCCATGTCTTAGGAATCGAACCTCCACACTGCGACTGTCAGCAAAACGTGAGATAACTTCACTCCTGTTCTTTGCACCACTGAACTATGCCCTGAGGGGCACGTGTACCCTTTTTGTTTTTGTTTTCAGTCTATCCAAGGTTTGTCTAGACAAGAACTATTTCAAATAAACTTCACCTTTATGTTGCTTGATATCCCTAAAGACGGAAAATGTCTATTTAAACGTAAACGGTCATAAAACTCACAAGTGATATTTGAATGAAAGCGTAAAATTGTCCAAAAAAGTGGCAACACTTCAATGCAATTTGAAAAGTGTTTACTTGTTAAAATGGATAATTAAATTCATGCTGCAATTTTTATTTATTGTACCACGTTTTGATTGTACTTAAAATCATTTAACATTACTAAATATAGCACTTATGTCCTTAACCTTTTTCAATTGAATTCTTATCTTCACACTTCCATTAACTAGAAATCTCATCTTTGATTAATGTTTCCATCAAATTATTTTGTTTGTATGATTTAAAATGAGGGACAAATACTTTTGTATCATTTTTACGTTTATTTTTTAATAAATATGAACAAGTCATTTATACTCTCTCATCGTTATCGAAAACAAGAAGTATAGTTAGCCATTAAGTTTGCATAGCCTTGAAATTTAAATACATATTTTCCTTCATGCAGCAATATCATGTGCTCAATATCAAAAGATTGAAGCTATGAATGTAATAAATGGAAGATTCAAAATATAAATGCTGCACTTACGAAAGTTTGAGATCCCCAATGAATTTATTGAAAATTAATTTTACTTTATTCGAATAGTTCATGTGTTTATATTACTATTTTTATCCTGTAAATTGCATTCAATTCGATTATTTTATTGAGTTCAAAATTTATTTCTACTAGAAAATCTTGACATTATGTTAAGTTGTTTGGGCTAAATACTCGATCAACATTACAAGTTATCTAGCTCTGTATCGATGACTACAAAATTGTCACAAAATAATATCATAATATTTTCTTGTGTTATATATAATAGTTATGTATCTTCCTTATGATGAGTGATTTAGTGATTTTGAGGGAGTTACATTTTAAGATTTTTCCCTATAAATCTTGAGTTTATTGTTAGTGTAGCAAATATTTTAAAACTTTTAAAAAATTTCAAAAGTCGAAGAACATATCAATTTAGAATATTTCAACATACAGATATCTAAAGAATTTGGTCTTTTCTTTTAAAAATGCGGAACAACGAATTTCTTATAAGGTCTTGTGGAAGGGTTGAATTTAGAAGGTTTTTATTTTATTTTTTTTTTATAAAAAAATGTCAAATATATATTTTCAATTACCAAGAAATAAAATGTTAAATATATCTTTAATGAAAAAACCTTTACTCTAACCTTCAGCACAAATCTCTATTTGATCGAATCAAATCAATGTAACTCAAGTATATATATTTTTTCTTCTATCAATTCACATACAATATGAATCTTATCAAAAAATCGATATCTTACTTCATAACTTTCGAGACGGATAGCCTAGAAAATGGTTTGGTCTAATATGGATGATCTTCTCAAGGCATCTGATCTTAAACCAATGCATGTCGCTCTTTACTAACAATAATTGATTGAATCCCACGTTCGATCAAAAATAGATCAGAATGATCAGAAATTATTAATTCATACAAAGACATCGAACTCAATTGATCAACAAGCAGAGCTACATGCATTAGATGAACAAAAAACAACAATTCTTTTAGGATGGCAACGATCCCTTTGATTTATTCATTAGTTCTAGATTGAGATCTTATGGTAAGAGCCGATAAGAAAGAATGTTGTCATCACCAATAATCGTTGCAAGAACACGTTCCTTCATAAAAATGGTGGAAACGGTTCGTGTCTCTTAAGATAATTTTGCTCCTGGTTACTTCAGATACAAACTTCATCCAAGTATGACAATCTGCACAAACACGAAGATTTTTTGTGATTCGAATTGGCAATCCCGAGCCCCGATGAATAAGTGCAAATACTGTTGCAAGTCTCTCACTATGCCCACACACCCACTTTGCCTTCATTTCTTCGTCTATGTCATGAAGAACTACTCCTGTGTCAGGTTTATATCCCCTTTTCTCCATAGCTTCTGTCAATTCATTCCATACTTTCGTATACTCGTCTGAATTACGAAACTCGAAACCCCCACCTGCCACAAAACTGTGTATTCTATCCTTAATCTGTATCCAACTGCATCCAGCTTCCTTCTTGATTCCCCTCTGCTCCATGAACTCTCTCACCAAATCAACTTTATCCCACATTCCTGCATTTGCATAGATGTTTGACAGTAGTACGTAGTTCCCGGGGTTGTTCGGTTCGATCTTGAACAACTGTCTTGCTACGAGTTCTGCAAGTGACACGTTACCATACAGTCGAGAAGAATTAAGCAATGATCCCCAAATACTGCCACTCGGATTCATAGGCAATCTTCTCGTCACCTGCATCGCCTCGTCAAATTTTCCTGCTCTACCTAATATATCGACTAGACAGGCGTAATGCTCTAAATTAGGTACTATTCTGAACTCTACCTGCATCCTGTCGAACAAGAGTCGGCCCTCGGCTGTCATCCCAGCATGACTACAACCTGAAAGTAGTGAAATAAAGGTAACCTCATCTGGCCTAAATCCAGCTGCAACCATCCCTTCAAATGCTTCCATTGCCTCTTCCATATATCCATTGATTGCATAACCATTTATTAAAGTGTTCCATGAAATCAAATCCTTGTATATCATTCCATCAAACACTCTCCTACAGTACTCTAATTCTCCACATTTCGCATACATATCCAGAAGTGAGTTTAGCACGAGGAGATCTGGTGATTTTTCAGATTTAATGATTTGAGCATGCATCTCTCTACCGATATAAAGTGCCGTCAATCGACCACAAACCACTAAAATTGTAGTCAAACTAACCCAACTAAACCTCACTCCCGCGTTTTGCATTCTCCGAAATGTTTCAAATGCCTCAAACACCTGATCTTTCTTGACAAGTCCAGCAACCAATGAATTCCAAGTAACAACATTTTGCTCCGGCATTTCTTCAAACACATGCACTACGTCTTCAAAACTCCCACACTCGTTGTAGAACCTCAATAGAGCATTATGCACTACTTGATCAGGTTCTTCATTAGCCTTTATGATCTGAGCATGTACACCTTTGCCAATTCTCAAGTCCAACAACTCTGAACAAGCCTTTAAAGCAACCGAAAATGAAAAGTTCCCCGGTTCAACGCCCCAAGACAACATGTTGCAATAAACAAGCAAAGCTTCTTTAACCTTTCCATTTTTCGAATATCCTATAGCCATTGCCACCCAAACTGACTCAGGCAAATGCTCCATCTCCTTAATGTCATGATCAAAAACACGACGAGCTTCATCCACGAGACCACAAACTGAGAAAAGAGTTATGAACTTGGATTTCAATATGGGATTGTTGAGAAAACTCTTGTTATCTTTCAATAGATAAAGGTAAAGTCTTTGGCCATGGTCTAAAGATTTTCTTGAAATGCAGGCATGTAATAGGGTGGTGTAGGACTCAAGATTGGGTGACCCAAGTGAGGTTTTAGATTTCTGGGATTCCAATAAAAGGTGAAAGGCTTCATCTAGTTTCCCTGATTTGGACAAAAACTTCAAGGTTGAATTCAGAGGATTTTGTCTGGATCTTTGCTTAGAAAGTTTATGACTGGGATTGACAGTTGAGATAGTTGGAAGAGAAACAGAAACACTAACCATTTTCTGTTTATCCTACGGAATAGGAAAATAAGACTGCCACAAACCATGTGTAATTTCATCTCATTTTGTACAGTCGGAAGTGCAGACTAATGCCAATTCAAGCCTTTTCACGAACAAAATCTGATATGTTGACCAAATATATGCACTTGAAACTCATCTTATAGAGGTTTTATCTATGTACTTACAGGTTTAACTTGTGCAAGAATGTGAAACAGAAATCATTCCCCACAGCTGGTTCATGTAAACAATGGCTCAGCACATGAAAAGGTTTTTATATTAGGCCAAAGGTACCCCTTACTATGTGGGTTAGTTTAAGCCACATTTTCCAGATAATGATGGAGGGTGTGGCAATTAGATAGTGGGCTGCTTTGTTTCATGTCATAGCCTCTTAGGCCTATGCCTTTGTTAGCCATAGCGAAAATAGTTTCATTTGGGCTTCATTAGTCCTATACCATGTTGTGTGGTAATGGATTTGAGCCGAGATGAAATTCTAACCATCTATCAAAGATATAGAACGAATGAATCTTGTAAGATTCCAAAAAATTCTTCATTTTCTTCCAAAAGCAGATGATCTTCCCAAACAAGAACCGATTAATGTAGCATATAATAGAAAGTGGCTCGAAACTTCCTGATAGGAGAATGAAAAAAAAATGAAGCAATTTCTTTTTTTATCAGAAGTCACAAATTTTATTTATTTATTTATAATTGTGAATGTGTGAACCAATTTACTCATACCTCAACTAATCTCAAGAGGTCCTGCAATTTACAATCGAGTATTCACCTCAGTGGTCCTGAAAGAACTCGAACTGATGACCATTGGAGAGCATCATAGAACTAACAGTCAAGTTTGAACTAGTCATAATTATTTCTTTGTTCAGGTTATTTTGATCGATTGCAATTCAAACAACACATTCATTTAAATTCAAATTTGCATTAATTGCTCAAGTACGTCTATACATGCTATATAGAAGACATTTATAACTATAAATATTAATAGTAAAGAAAAAATAAAAAAGAATATTGTTTTGTAATTCTAGTTTCTATATAACAACTCAAATTTTTTCAATAATTGCATGTTTAACATCCGGTGTAACACAAGTGGACAGAGCAACACAGCAATCTGTAGTCCTCGTTGGGAAAGTATGAACAAAATCCTTACACTGCTAACATATGTTAGAAAGTTATCAAGCAAAGGATATAGAAAATATAACAACTATGAAGACAATTTCACAAGAGAATCATAGTCTCATCTGCATCTAATTTCAAAAGCAAAGCAGTCTTAACTCTTAAAACGTCAGGATGAAATGTTTCTCCTAGGAAAGTAAATTCAATTCTAAAAATCCGAGCCCCTAGAATTTCTCAAATGATATCCTTACTCTCCAATTTCTCCACTGCCTCAAACTAGAAGTTATCCTTCCACCATATACATGTACCCCGCATACTGACTTTTGGTGCTGGAAACTCACTTCTGCTTTCCGTAAGATGCCCTTGGTCCAATATTCCTAGCTCCCGACAGCCCCAAGCCAGAACAAGTATTCTTCCATCATACAATACATGTAAAGTGTAGTGGCAAAGATTGTGTCCAAAAAGCAATCCTTTGTCTTTGCTATTTTTTTCTGGCTTTCAAACAAGTAACAAAATACATCTGAATGAAGTCTTGTTTTCAATTTTAATATGATCGACACTTTGTTCCGCACGAAGAACCTGGAGCTCAACTCATGAAATAATATATGGAAAGAGAACCATGAGCATTAACAATGGAACAGGAGCAATAACACGCCTTTCACATCAGTAACATTTTGCATGCTTTCCTAGGTTGATAATAGTGATTTACGCTAGCATTATGGGAAACTCGGGTAAGCCTTGTACCTTAAGAAATGGGGAAAAGTGGCCATCTTCTCCTTGATATATTCAACAAGAAAACAGCTGCTAAATGAAGGGCATCTTCAACAAAGCAAAGATGCAGTTAAAATTCATCCAAAATCATGAGATAGGAACCTGTGGCTGCATTTTCTTTTACAGGCAACATAGCAGGTCCTTCAGAAGTTAAGAAACTGTCACACATCGATAGACTACCACCAACTTTTCCAAAAATCATACACAGAGTAGAAGTGTTTTTCTACACCACAAGTCAAATCTATCATGAGAATTTTCCGTGTCATATCACACACCTGTCAGTTGTCGTCCCTTGGAGGTAAATTTGGCCACTCGCATTACTTCAAGTTTCTTGTCCTTACAGACTTTGTTTTTTGCCACAAGCCAAACTTTGAAGCTAACATTTACCATGTCATGAATGACATGTCAATTATCATCCCTTGCAGGAAGACATGGACCTTTGCATTATTTCATGACTCCCATCCTTGTGGAAAGCTTTCATCAATGTAAAAATATTCTTAACCGGAGGCATGCACATGCAAACCAGATACAATTATAGAACACAAGAGCAAGAGTTCTTATTACATGATTATGCCATGCTAGACCAAGTGCAAACGGACCAAATGATCCAAAATGCACAAGGCAGTGTTTGGCCTGCATGGCTGTGCAAGTGTGCAATCTAGATCGTTTGGTCGGTAGCATGTGAGAAGAATCTATGATGCACCCATCTCAGAACACTGCCCTCCTCTTTCCGTGGAATCGAATGGACAAAATGTTGAAGATGCCACAGAACACAAATATATCAAAAGAACGATGATTTTTGGGTCTTTCAAGCAGGGCAATTTCTGTGGGCGCATACTGATAACTGCTATTACACTCACAGGATCGTATGGGGGAGAGAGATTGGGGAAAACTTAGTCCCCTGCCCCTGCCCGTCTTCTGAAGAAAATCAAAGAAAAAAGGTGAATTCGGCATTTAAAATCTCTATTGAAATTGTTCCAGTGTGCCATGTAAGCACCTTACAAAAGGATCCAGCAAAAAGAATGAACTTATTTCTTGGATGTATTGAGGAACTAAATGATTGGCATCATATAATTACAATGATTGAGATTAACTGGCCCAGCAGAAATACTTCAGACATTTTGGCAAATAAGCCCGTGGCTTATAAGCCATGGGCCCAACAAAGGGTTGAAATAGGCCACTAAGGTTGACCTTATTTCTTATTTTGTGTGGGACATACTCCTATACATTTTAAACCACAATTGGTAGGAAACATGGCTTATGACCGTGGACTTATTTGCCAAAGATGCCCTTGTCTTTTACAGAGCCATGATCAGCTCAGCACTACACCTCAACTCTTACACCATAATAACCTAAATTTGCAACAATCAGCCATCCGTATATTGACACACTCTCAAGGACATTACAGAAAGCACAAGCAGACCTCAAGAACAAGTTAAGCAATAAAATATTTTAGTTCCAGCTATAACAGAACAATATCAGCAGTTTTTGAGTCACTCTGCTGCCTACTGCCCAGCAACCCTGAAATGACTTCAGTTCAAAAAATGGGCCCCTTCATAATTTTCCCAACAGTTATAATCAGGCCTCTGAATTACCCGAAAAGGGCCTAGTGAATGACAGTTGCATATAGAGGTGGGCATGGGTAAAGTTGGGTCAGCGACATTTCAGGCTGGATCAAAGACCAGCCCGAAAACTAAACCAATTGGGGGGCCTAATCATGTTGGGGTCTGTTCGATCCCAAATCATCAGGCCACAAATCCCAGCCCAACACCACAACTACCTATAATTGTCCACCACAAATCACCACCTCAATCGACATTACCATCACCATCACCATAGAAATATCAAAAAAAATAAAAAAAATAAAAAGGGAGAGAGAAAAATCACCACAGAATCAAAATCCTACATAAAGTGTACCCCATTTTCAATAAATGGTCTCTAAAATTCTTCATTTCCTTCCCTTTTCTGGTCTAGATTTGATGTCAACCCAACCTGGCAACATTGTGTTGATGGCTAAAGCTGGAGAAAAAACAAAGATGAAATCTTCTTTCATGGATTTCACGTGAGCTGTGGTGCATCAGTTTATACGATCTGGTGGTGGATGGACTCATGGTAGGGCCACCAACTTTGTAAAGAGGGATAAAAGTAGAAGATAAACGAACTAGGTGTCGTGCCTGAATGGGTTTGGGAATTGTGAGGGTGCTTGGGTGAGCTTCGGAATTGTTATGAAATGGTTTAGAGTTAAACATAAATTGTCTTTTTTTTCAAAAAACCCAACCCGACCGCCAAATCGAATTTTCAAGTTGGGTCCAAAGCCCAACCCAAAAATCGAACTGAAAGGGCTCAATACCGACCCAAACCAAATCAAGCCAGATCGGTTTGTCGGGTATTTTGCCCACCCCCAGTAGCATATGGCCTATGTCACGATATAAAACATAAGGCCATAATCATATTATCATACTAATTTACTAGAATACTAGTGAAACAAATTTGTACATCAACAAATTCATATGATTAATATTAAATCTTCGAACATTCTGGTGGAGTTTGCTACATGCAAAAGGGCCATTGGCCACTCACTGCATCAGCGATGTGCTGGATATTTCCTTTATATTGATGCAAATATGCAGCATATCACAAAAACCCTTTATAATTGCCAATTACTTCAATAAACCATCACAGATCCAATCATTCTTGCTTTGTATCTTTACATTTCAAATTTTGTAGTCAAAAGTATGAGATTTAATGGATAGTTTTAATGACTTGGTACCCATGCTGCGACTTGTAAATTTTATGTTTATTGTTCTCTCAGGAGAACAGTAAAACAAAGAATGTGAGAAAGAGAATTGAAGGAAAATGAAGGAAGAAAAGAATAGAAACAAGTTTCAGAATACGAAATTGGGCAGAACATGCAACAAAAACCTACAAAAGGGGAAAAGCAAAGAAATAACAGAGGAGAGAAATATTAGTTGAATATGCATTTTACAATGGAAAACTATAATAACAAGAACGAAGGACACAAAAAGAGACATAATGCAAGGATATTAAAAGCAGGGATTGTGACCAGAAAAGAAGCACATTTGAAAAGAAATGAAAAAACTGTGCAACAGCGGAGACTACTGAATATGCATAAAAGTGAAATGAATGAAAAATCACCACTTCATATTTCGAGGTTTTTCAAATTATAATTGCCATATCAAATCTTCAAGAAACAACACAAAAATATGCCTACAGACGACTAAAATGAAAAGCTTAGAGACAGGAAGACTTCCACTTCTTTAGAAGATAATCATACACTTCACGAGCATTTCTTCCCTCTTTATAACAAGCATTCTTCACCTTTGTCATTGTCGACTCAGAGATGATGAGTTTTCCATCAATCATCTTCTCTGCAAACCTTCTTACCTCTGTTAGTCTTCCCAAACTACAGAACCCAAGAAGCAAGGCATTTGCAGCATCATCACAAGGTGAAATGCTGTTTTTAACCATATAATCCCACATCTCAATTGCCATCCCCGGATCATCGCCATCAAATAACATTATGATTGCAGCAGTGAAATTTTCAGGGGTTGGAGACCACTCATTCTTGATCATTTCATTAAAGAACTTACCCACTTGACGCACCTTCTTATTCTTGATCAAGCATTCGAAAATCATGTTATATGTCAAAGAATCAGGAAAAGCACCATGGAAAACCATCACGTCAAGAAGACGGAAGGCATTGTCAGTATCATTGTTGTTGCAAAGCAAGCCAATCATGGCATTGTACATTATCAAATTTGGAACCAGTCCACTACCTACCATTATACCCCATAACAGAACGGCGCGAGCCGAGTCATTCTGTTTAACAAGAATATCAAGAGCATTACAAAAGAATTTCAAACCTGGCAAGCAGTTTTTTCCCTTCATCACCTGCAAGAACTTGATTGCCTCATCAGCCTGTGACCCACATAAAAGAGTATTCAGAAATGCATCATAAGCAGAAATGTACTGTGGGCTCCAACCCACCCGAATCACCATCTCCCCAAAGGTGGTCTTTGCCCTCGCAACATTCCCTTCCTTTTCCCATCCTTCCAATAAAATGGCAAATGTGTCTGCATCCGGAGGTATCTTAGCTTTTATTCTTTCAAAGAACTCGAGTGCTTTCTCGGTTTGGTTATCTTCTCTACATATTGCACTCAGTAAACAATTTACTGCAATAATATCAGGTTGAATCCCATACCTGTAGACTCAAAAACTTGAATGTCTACTTGATAAGAGATGATACCAATTGAACTGTAATAATGATTAACTTATAAAATTTCTTCAGTTTTCTTGACTAATAGTCACGCTTCCGTTCGCTGTAGTTTTCTACAGCGAACGGAAGCATGACTATAAGTCAAGAAAACAGAAACATTTATCTGTCAAAAGTTATTAATTATGCTTAACTATATAATAAAGAATCATTTCTCGTTCCCTCATCCTTCCCTTTCCCCTCTCCTTTTTAGTTACTAAATCCAGAAATCAAAGTTAAACTAAATTTACATAATTCAATTTAGCAGAGAGAGAGCATAATATTAAAAAATTAAAAAAAAATTAAAATTTAAAAAAATGGATACTTTTTAAACCAAATTGGTGTCAAAAACAACAGTGGAGAAATGAATCGCAAGTTCTAAAAGAAAACTTAAGTCAATGCATCAACAGCTCTGAGAGCTAAGGGCAGCATGTTCAAAAAATTAGTGTTCAACTTAACGGATAATTTGCTTTCACGATTTTTTTTTTCCAACTACACCAAAAATATTCCCTTTTATATTTGAATTACATATTTAAGAATAAACATTCACTATCGAACTGCATTTTAGTTCATTTCGACAGTACGCAATCCCACAACAATGTACCCAGAATGTCTGTTCGAGAGAAATAAACAAACACAAAATCAACTCAACAATTACAAAATGAGGAGAACGGGAAGAAATCCACGAAACCCGCATAGCAGAAGGAATAAATAAGCAATGGGATTAAAACAGAGGCAAATTTTCGTACCTTTCCATAACGTCAAAACTCATGACAGCCTCACCTACCCTTCCAGCAGCACAATAACTCCCAAAAACCGAGACAAAAGTCGTCAATGACAGAACACCTTCCTGCTTCATGGACCGCACAGCATCCCACATGGGCTCAAATAACCGATTCTTTCCTAACAAATCCACCATAAGATTCCACGAATACTCATTATGCCTTCGAGCCAGCCCGGACCACCTGAAGAACTTGACGGCAGCGGAAGGGGAATTATACAAAAGCTTCAAAACCTGCTGCACCATCTCGGGCTCCGGCTTGATTTGCGTAGAGGCAAGACGGGCGTCGAGGTCATGAATTGGTACGGTATCGATGATTTCACAGAGGAGACGGGCTTGAGAGGGAAGGTCTACTGCTGTATGGTAAGTGGGAAAAGGGAGTTGGGGTTGGGCATTTGCTGGCTGATGGGGATTTGCAACTGCCATGTGGGAAATTTTTCAAGGTTTGCGAGTGAAAGTCTGGGTGTGTGAAGAAGGCAATTCGGGCTCAGCAGCGAGGGATTGAAAAGGAATAGGAGGAAGAATCCCCAATTCCTCCTGGGATGTGTGAAGAAGCGGGCTCAATCCACTGCAAGCTTAAAATTTTTGCTTATATGGTCCTCTGCAATGCGTGCACCAAAACGTCATTTTACAACAAATTTTGGCACAAAGTGACTCTGCACCAAACTTTGTACCAAATGGTGCAAAGTGAATATTCACAAAAATAGTTAAGTACAATTTTGTCCTTCACTTTCACTTTGTAAAAAAATTGATTTAGGATATTTGTGTCCATTTCTTTTATACATTTTTTAATATAATAAATTGTTGTTATTATTATTTTGATCATTTTAAATAAATTTTAATAATGTAATCAATAATATTTAAGGAATTAATTAAAATAAGAATATTCAAAAAATTTGAGAGAGTAATGAATGGGCTTATTTAAAGTTAACGCATAATCAAAGATAAATAGACTCATATTGAAGGTTTATATGGCAGAAGAGTAATCGAGAAAGAGAGATGATCATCTCCAGTGAGTGCGCCAGTACTTCGAAATGCATTAATTGATCATTTGTGAGATGAATGTATAAATTTCGAGAGTTAAATTGCAACACTGTTTCGGTTTCGTAATATCATGATATAAGGATTTGAAACGCAATGTGCTAAATTTTAATGACATGATTTAATATTTTCTTATTTCTGGTGTTCTATTAGTTGTCCTATATTTTTTTAATGAATTTAATATTTTCGCTAATTTAATGTAATTATTTATTTAATAATTTAAGTAGTTGTAAATAAATAAATTGTTAAGAATACGAAAATGAAGAAAATGATTAAACGCTGTTCATTTGGTATAAATTTTGGTGTAATGAATTGGAAATGATTTTTAATTTGGTATAAAACTGGATAGCTTTGGGGACTGTCTAAGTAGATTAAGAGCTCACTTGGGAGGCTTTTTTCCTTTTTTTTCTTTCCTTTTTATTTATTTATTTATTTTTTATTTTTGTTTGTTAACTAAAAAATGAGACGGGGTAAAATCGGATCTTGTTGGATTTTTTTTTAGGCACTAAAAACAAATCACATATAGTGTAATTTTCATCATATTTCTCAATCCACCAAATTGGTGGATTTTGGTTATTCCTTAAAATTTCTTTTAATTTTATCCCCTCTAAAATAGTTATTTCCAATCAATATTTTTTTTAAAAGTAATTTGTAAATAAAAATAAAAAATAACTAAAATATAATTTATGAGCAAAAGAAATTACTTTAATTTATTTATAAGAATTTAAGATAAAAAAAATTATCTATAAGATAAAAATCCACTTCCATGTAAAAAATATTAACAAAATAAAATTACTTTAATTTAATTTAATTTAATTATAAGTAAATGTTTCACCTTTTAAATTAAAAACTAGACTTATATGTAAAATTTTAATAACAAGTAAAATATTGCTTATGAGTAAAAAAAGAGTCATACAAAAATTATAAATTGAAAATTTAATTAATGGGTCTATATGTAATTTTATTTTCTTAGAAATATTTCATAGTCACTGATAATAAATTCTTAAATATGGGTTGGACTGTTTTAAAAATTGGTACTAAAAACACTCAAAACCAAACATCTCATAAACACACTAAAACAATATATTAAAAAAAAAAAAAAAATCCCATAACCAGTGGCCCAAAACTCCTTAGCAAGGCCTAAAGGGGTGCTGTCGACTTAAATTTTGTAGGATTTTAAAATTATATTAAATCTAAGTGGTTATTTGGTTTGAGTTTTAGTTTTTTAGTTTTAATTACTAAAAATATGTTTAATTTATCATTTTGAAAAATTATTTCTCAAAATATAAAACTGAAAAACGTATTTGGTTTAGAATGTTAAGAGACTGTTTTATAATATTTTGCCTCTGTTTGGTTCTCATTCTTTCCTTATTAAAATAAAAAATATGATCGTTATTCATCACATCAAACCACCAAATTTTAATTTCTATCTCTTGTATGGAGTCCGTAACGACTATATTTTTCATTTTCATTCTTTCAAAAATGAGAAACAATCGGGGGCTTTATCTCATTCATTTGATTATTCAATTAAATAAAATAGATTTAATCCTAATATATTATCGAGTAACGTATACATTTTAAATTTAGTGAATATTATAATATTGTAATCATTACAAAAATAAAGTACAAACAAATAACAAATTGAGCTGACAAAATATAGAAAATAAAAATTAATTATATTGTAACGCCCCAAATTTTATTGACTTAAATTTTGGGTATTACCGATATCATTTCATAAATATAACTGGAGCGGAAATATTTAATTAAGAATTTAAACTCTTAATTTATTTGAACCCTTAAATACTGAATAAAATAAACATGGCGTAATAAAGTTTAAAACATTTAATAGAATTAAAGAGAAATGCAAAATAGCCTAGCAAAATTATTTTCTTAATGTTTTCTTGAAAAAATTTCTTTATTTGGCAACCCGCGCAACATTCAGTCACCATCCATATCGATCGATCTAATCTGAAATGTTAAAATTTAAGGAATACTCAATTTATACTCGATAGGATACATGCGTCCAAAACAACATAATAACCTTTTAAAACTTGAATTTATAACATTCCATACCATTATTTCATCAAAAGCAATTGGTGATCAATCGAATACTCTAACACGTTTGAGAAGATCCGACTGAGATCTCACATTTCATTTCATTTCATTTCTTTGGGACCTACGCCCGTAGCTCAATTAACATTTTATAAAATAAATCACGTAAGAAAAATTATAATATTGCAAGGACGGATCACTTGCACATAGTGTCCTACCTTGTTTGATTTGAAGAATTGTAAAAGGATGTAAAATATTGCATGTGGAAAGTTGTTGCCCTTTTCCTTTCTCGCTCTGTCTTTGGTTTCTACCGCCGTATATATTTTTGTTAGTGAAAAATGAGGACTTTAACATGACATTTACAGTAGAACAGATGATAGAGTTTTGGTGAAATTGGGATGGAGAAACGTGTACCTCCAATTGAATAGGAACTAAATTTTTGGTAAAGCAATTTATGATATGACTAGTGACTGATCTAGAATTGGATTTAAGATTGGGTTACAAAATTTTCAAGCAAGAATAATACGCAAAAAATTAAATAAATTTACACATAAAAAACTGTTTAAAAAAAAAAGGCAAAGAAGAAGAAAATCTTGGGCTTTGGGAGGAACTACAGCCCAGCCCAATCCCCCTTACATCCATCCCTCGATGTGACACTTGTAGTTCGATTTGGTAGCTACTATTTGGATAGCTTATAAGTATGGGTTGTAGTTTTCCAATGCAATAGAGTTTTAAAGCAAGCAAGATTCTTATACTTGGGGTTCACGTCGACATGGGGTACAAAAGGGCATAGTCTTCTGGTGAAAAATGGAATTACTAATCTTTTAGCATGCTAATTAAATTGATCCAAAAAAATCGTGATAAGTCTAATGGGGTGTTTTGGAGTGATTTTCCACCCTCAAAAAATTGATTTTTTGATCGTTATATCACTATTTCAGCTGTAATTTTTTACTTCTTCTCTTACAAGTGGCAACACTTTTCTCTTAACGATCAAAAAATCAATTCTCAAAATCCTTACCGAACAGAGTCTAAATATAATGAAACTGAATATGGCCAAGCATATCAACATTAGGGTTAACCAATTGTGTTTAAATTAATTATAACTAATATTTTAAATCCTTACTTTAACTTCAGTTGTCGTATAACCTGTTTAACTAAGGACAACTAATTCCCTCAAAATTTCATTTAATGATAACTTTCTTTAATTGGTCATAACTTGATTCGTTCTTATATAAGTTAATTTTTTCCCAAATCTAATATACATAATTAAATATTAGCTACCCAAAGAGCCCAATATTGATATACTAAATTTCGCTCTATAAAAATCTAATTTTTGATCCAAAAATATAATAATTAAAATATATTTCACTTTAACTTTCAAAATTATGAAATATAATATATATAGAACAAATTTTTTTCCTAAATTTTCGGGATGTTGCATGTATGGACTTAGATTTACATATATGATTTTGTTTAAATATTTTTCTAATTTTTATTTAAATAATCAATAAGTTCTTGAATTTTTATTTTTTAGATTTTATTTTATTTTTAATATTTATTTTTTTACATTTTTTTGGAGTGTATTTTAAATTTATTTAAACATTTATTTTTCGTGTTTATAAGACTGAAAATATTAAAAACATGTTTTGAGTTTTAAGTTATCAAGTTAATTTTATTTTCAAAAATACATTAAAAAATATCAAATCAAACAAGTTTTGAGTTTTTACAAAATTGAACACAGCAAAACAAATGCCCCCTAAGTAGCCAAAATTCATATCTTAGTTGATTTAATTAAAATTAAAGCATCTCCAATGCAATCGTTTAATGCTTTAAAAAAAATTCATATAAACAAAAATAGACTATATTGAAAAATAAAAAAAATCAATGCAAAATGACAAAGATTTTGTCAAGTTGACGTAGCAAAAAAGATAAACAATTTCTAGATGGATGTCTAAATGTAAAAACTTCATTAAACATACTGAATCAGTGATTAACTAATTCTTTTCCACTTTTAGAACATTAGAATATTGTCCTTTTCCTCAACTCTATCCTATTTTCTTAGATGCAAATATTAGAAAATAGATAGAACTCATTGGAGATCAATTTCAGACTTGACCGACTATTCAATAGAGTCGAATGTCGTGTGGATTGAAATTCGTCTATTTATAAAGGCTCATTAATGCTATCTAGTTGGCATTAAGGATGTTAAATGATATGTTTAATTACCTTATAGCATTAGTGGTGTTAGATATAATTATTCAACTTTGCTATATGTAAATTACAATTTGGTTGGCATGTGTGAGATGGCTAATATTTTTGTCATTGATTTTAATAACATTTAAAATAATCATTGACACAAATTTTGATAACATGCACAATGTAAACAAAGATGTCACCCCAAAAATGTACAAATAGCATAATTTATAATTATTTAGTTCATGTTTGATTTGGCTAAAAAATAAAATATTTAGTAAATTTTGAT